TGTTACTGTTACAAGGATCTTTCTTGATTCATGTGATTTTTCTAATGTGCAGAGTTGAGCTTTCTAGTGTCCCTTATAATCTCTTTGCTTATATTTTTTACCTATTATTATATAAGTGAGGGTATATGATTTGAGATGGGTGTGACATTTCAATAGCAATTCCAGAAATTTATGAAGAACAGGAATTACATAGGGCACCTGAGAAAACCTGTTGTAAACACTGTTGGATAAAAGATTTGACTCAGCCCGTTACAGTTTTTTTTCCTCTTGACTTTTGTCCTCAGCACTTTGGAGAGCATGGGTGCTGTCCTGTCCAGCATTTTGCCAGCGTCTCTTTTTTGCTCCTCCTGTTCTGTGAAGAACCTTCAGTGTTTCTCCTACGAAAAATAAACTAAATGCGTGTTGATGCAAATTTTATCTTTCAGATTATGCTTCATCTTTTTGCAATCCCTACAGAGGCTACAGTTTTGTTCTTTACTTCGAAAATGTGTTTTAGTTTGGGAGAGAGCATCAAGGGGGAACTATTTCTGTAGCTGTTTTCATTAAGGCGGTTGGGGTAGAGCTTGAATATAGACAAAGAGAGCTTTTCGGGTGGTTCGGCTGGTCCTGCCTGCCCACCTGTAAGAAGGGAGTGTTTGAAACACAACCAAGAGAAGGTGATGCCCATCAGTAGCACTTCTGAGTCTGCTGTCAGAAATCCAGAGAGAACTGACATAGCTTGAGTTGGAAGGATGGAAAACCAGGAAGGTTTCCTAAGTTAAAACATAGCAGGAGACTTCGAACTGTTGCTTTTGGCGTCTCTTTCTCTGACTTAGGAATTTCTGTTAAACTAATGTGATTTCACAAAGGTTTGCTTTCAGAATCTGGAATGAGCTTCAAATAAAGCTCGAGGCTTTCCCGCTGATAAATTTGTCAGAAAATATTTCTGAGGGCTTTTTTTTCCTTCTTTCTTCTGTGTATTAACATAGAAAAGTAAATACAGTTTATGTTCACTGGGAAGATGCCCAGCTGAAAATACTAATATGTATTTTAGTATATTACTGTGTATACAACTGTAAACATATCCACAGTTTAAAGTCTAAATTACACACACCACTAAAATGCTACATAACTGGACGTATATTTTCTTTGTAGTATCTCTCTCAGGAGCACTTCTATTTTATTTAAATCTTTTTCTCTCTCTAGGCTAAACTCTTAATTGAGTGGGGCTAATAATTATTTCATGTGCGTGAAGTTTATTCCGCTGTAATTTAGATGAAATATGCTTGGTCGCCAGTAGCCATATTCGTAAGGATGGGACCGGTTTCTAATTTAACGCTCCCTCTCCAGCAGAGAATTCCCTGTGTGGAGGTGAAGCCATGGGAAGCCCCTTTCCACCCTGCTCACTTCCTCTGCCAGCACAAAGCTTCTCTTTCCCT